TTTTTTTTTTTTAATTGATATAGATTTGTTTTTTGGGGGGGGGGGGGGGGGGGGGTGGGAATAGTATTTATCATAACAGTATTTATGTGTACTGATTTATTTTGAAATACGTGCTAAAGAAAATGCCTTAATTTTATGATTTAATTATACAGAATCTTAGGGTTAATAAATTATATCAACAAATTAGATTGATCTAGTTTTGTCTTATATCAACATATTAAGTAGACCTAGTTTTGTTTTGTGTTATTAGATTGAATTCAGGTTTAAATAAATTACTTATTACAATTTTGGGCCGGATAGAAATAAAGATAAGCATATATCGTGAAAACCTTTGTTCAAATTGGTTTATAGATTAAATGAATCAAAATTTGATGCATATAAGTGTAGAAGAGAAAGTAAAGGTAAACAACAAGCATCAAATAAAATAGTTTGTTATACAAATAATGAGTTTAATTTCTATATAACCTATTAAGAATATGAAAAACCTGAATTTTAAGATAATTATTGTAAAATGTAAAAGTCTAACAAATTTACCTTATATAGTTATATCAATTGAATGATAACATCTCAGACTATTCATAGCGTGTTTGGAAATCCGTTTTTTTTAACGAAAACGTAAAAGCACGCGTTCCAAAGCATCAAAATACAAAACAACTTTTCTTATCTTCTCCGTTGAACGTTGAACGTAAGTTTACAAGATTTTAACAATAAACCAAATACACACTTAATCAATGATAATTTACAATATTCAGTTTAAAAAACAATTTACAGTAAAGTAACTTGGCCCAGTCCATTGGAGGTCGACCCAGATGGGCCCAACAATATGTTTAAATACAGGCATTTCTAGTTTTCTGTTGAAAAATAAAGAATGGATTTTCATAGTTTAATTTTTTTAATGATGATTTCTTAGGTTAACTTGTGAACTACACATTTCACATTTATTATTCAAAATGATAGAAAATGCAATAATAGCCGTTAAATTTGGCGACACTAAAATTAGGATGTTGGGTTTATATATTTTTTTTGGTGAAATAATTAGGATGTTAGATTGATTCAACTAAAGTACGGTATAGCAATGCACGCAAGTGTGGAAGGGGGAAAAAGTTTTTATTGCAAGTGAATAACAGTAATTATAGCGATCATATAGTGATAATGCAAAATGACTAATGTATATTAGAGTAGAATTTTTATCATGCAACCATGGATCCTACCTTGTATATGCAGTCGCGTTAAATTTTGGGGCCAGCTATCCCACCCTTTGAGGTGTCTCCAACGTAGCGAGAAGATTAGTCACTGCTATCGGCGGTGAATACTCCAGGAACGAACAAAAAAAAAATAGAGTAGAATTTTATTTTTTGTTATATTTTGCCCTTTTGGGCCTTGTGGTATGAGCGCAATAGTATTTGGGCCAAGGGGAGTGGCTGCATTAACATAGAGTCGTATAACATGTTTAGCTTCTAGAAGCTTTACACACACGCACATCACTCCTAAAGTAAATATTAGTTACCTTTGTATTCATGGTTTTTATCTGTAGGAATTGAGAGTTTTCAATAACTCACAGTGTTCAACTAACTGAAATAACCTAAACTCTCTTTGTAGTGTTGAAATTTTTTTCTCCCTTTACCGAACAAAAGAAGTGATCAGCAGATAAACATTGTTCACATGTTACATTGTATTTAATAGAGATGTTTGTAAGCTTACCAATACACCAATTCATTTGGTGACGGCTCATCCTCCTTAACTTACAAACAAAATGGATCGCATAAAATTCACGTTTTTTTTTTTTTTTTTTTAAAAATAATAATTTTTTTTACTGCTTACACACCACATTCAACATTCAACAATTATTTACTATCCTTATTTCTGAAGTGCAACTCTAATTGTGAGTGAAAAATAATACTACCAACAACACTAATAATATATAAGTTTTATCAATGGAATATACAAGGTTAATTTGATAAGCACTGGAATTGTTACTCATTGCATGTTTTGATAGAAAAAGTGTATTATTCTGCTGGGATAAGGAAGAATTTGCCTTTTTTGTAGAGGCCGAATGAGCTTGCTTGCGTGTCCGTTGAGAACAAGTTATAGATGATCGTCTACGTTCCCAAGCAGAATCTGAAAAATTCCCCAAAGTGAAAAAAAGATCTCTTGCAATCACAACCTCCTCTGATTGCATCTAACAAGGGGACAGTGTCAGATATGGCTTATTTTGTTGAATATTCAATTCAATTACTCAATTTTCTAAGCCCGGATTTGCTTATGTGTGAGCATGAGCCTCCAAGAGACGAACATTTTGAACGCAATTCAAGAAATCAAGCTCACCCAATGAATCTTGACCAAACCAAAAATAATTTTGTCAATGATCACGCAATTCAATTTTGATTTATTTTGAGAAACTCATAATAGGGTAGTGATAATGTTGCATATTATTCACTAAACATTGTACCTGTCGATCGGTTGAAAAATTGGTAAATAGGTACGATGAATCTCGCAATAAAAGTTGTCTGAAAATGATATGACACCGAATGTGAAACTAATATCTCCCCATCTTTACAAATCCGGAAATAATTTTGTCGATGATCACGCAACTCGAGTTTTGATTTAATTTGAGATACTCATAAGTAATGATGCGCAAAAAAAAAGGGTCAATAAGTGCAATGAATCTTGCGTAAAAGTTAATGCTATGAGAGAAAATTTGTGATATAGAAGAATATAACACCAGATGTGAAATATTTCCCATATGAGGGGAAAAAAGAAAAAGAAAAAGTGCAATACAATGGCTTTAATTAATTGGATAGGGATGCGGAAACCTGCGAGCATGCAGGTGAAAAAATTTAACTAATTCCAAGGGTCGCAGCTACATGGTAAATGTTATACGAAAAACCTTGCTGACTTAATTTTGATACTTTTTTATTTCCATCGCTTATGCACTGTTTCATTATTAAATGACTTTGAGATAAATAATTATTGTGAGATTAATGGATCCATATGTTCCATAGATTGCGATCTGCATGTATTATTGATGACAAATGAGGTAACACAAGTTTTGAAATTTCAAATAATTTCAATATTAAAAAAAAAAAAAAAACTCCAAACCACGGGTCAATCCAACCTAGCATGAATGCAGTTGAACACTGGTTGTGCTTGGTGGTTTTTTAAATTATTTAGTGCAGGAGGGTTCTACTTTTTGGGGGAGAGGTTTTATTGTTCTACCTGTACTAGGATACACACTAATTATCCTTGTTGTAGCGGGTCTGATCCTGGGTCTCGGTCTTCTCGTTCCTATCCGGGTAGTCCGAAGTCAGGGGTGGGTGTGCCTGCAAAGACACTCCGATGCTCAAGTTAGTGCTCGACGTAATAAATGCGGTAGTTCAGAATTAATTACATATCTTGTTGGGGTCCTATTTATAGTAGTTCTTATTGGACCGCAATTAGGGACTGGGCCCCGGAAAATTAGGGATCTAATCCTATGCATTATGTTAATTAATCTCTCCGTAACCATCTTGATGATGCTGACATACTCGGCCAACCCCGCCGACACGTTTCGCCCCTATCTGGGAGTGGTCGGCGGGTTCGGGTACTCGGCATAAGCAACGTCGACACGTTTCGCCCCTATCTGGGGGTGGTCGACGGGTTCGGGTACTCGGCATAAGCAACGGTCTCGGGTATTCGGGCGAGTCGGTCACCATACGATATAATTGTTATTATTCCTTTGTAACAGTTCTTGTCTTGTAAGGGTAGGGTACCTTATACACTCGATACTCTTTCTTAATATATACCTTCTTTGTCGTGAAAAAGAAAAGAAAAGAAAAAAACTAGCATGAATGTAACCCATTAAATTTATGAGTCAAGTGAATTAGGTCAAATTTAACCAAGATTTTAGTGAGCAAATATTTTTATCAACACAACACGATTCAAATTCATAGTGAGCCAAAATGACGGATAAGTTGTAAACCAATTTGATCACAATAATGTAATAAACTCCTTTTCTGCTG